CTTGGGAAGTTTTTGTTTCAAAAGCAAGCTAGGACAAAGTTCTCTCAAATATAATTTCGATACATTTTAATTTTAATTTTTATACTATTTCACGATTATAGTACATATTATATATTGAAATTTCAGTTTGGAGAATCACCCAGTTTGAAAATTCAAAGATTTCTGGAACATAGTCGTTGCAATTCATTGTTATAATATCGAATGCATACATCATTTATAACTGAATTTATTTCGCTTATAATTGAATTTGTCATCGCCAAAGAGAAGAAATTTCTGAATATCTCTGTACAGAACTTGTCCATGGAACGGAAACAGTTGCGCAAAGTTTTCGTTGTTCGGCAATGTTCAGCAGGCAATGTGCAGGAAATAATAGCCTGTCATGAACGGATTCCGAGCACTAGCGACAATCCTCGGTATCATCGTAATCGCGAACAGCGGTGTATCGGAGAAACACAACAAACGCGGAAAAGTATACCATGGTAGGTGAGTGTATACTGAGTAACTTGCCATCGTTATCGAGTTTTGGCGAGGAAATTCTCAGCCTTGTGTCAAGATCGAAAACGGTTATGACATCAGTTTCGATTCTCGAGATAGTTGTGAGAAACGAAATGAACAAATACAAATTACAATTTGACGAAAACACGAGTCGAAGAATCATCGTCTAGAGAGAGATTGGACATTGAACCTATCGGAATAAAATCGTTGTCCGGTCACAGTGAGCATAAGATAGCAAAGAGTTAAATTAATGAAAGAATTTTATCAAGAACCATGTAAATCTGTCTGATGTATTTTACCATTCGAACCATTCGCTTCGGTCGTCGATTTCGTCACAAAGAACCGATTCAATCTGATCGTTCTCCCTCATGTTCCTCGACTGGTTCACTTCGCTACCTAAGTTTGGCATCCCGATAACAAATGTCCCATAACTTTGCCGACACGTTCTTTCGTTCTTCTGCTCCTTCGACCGTGTCATCGAGGATTTTCTTCTACCGAACGGTGAACCACCGGGGACCGTCGTATTACGCGGTTCGTTTCTGAAAACTTGTCGTTGGCCCTTTGTCTCTCGAAATAAATTCGCCTTTGATTCGATCGATCGCCGTGATTAAAGTTTAGTGGGCACGAGAATCGATTCACTAGGCTCAGAGTTTGTCAAAGTTGGATTGATACAGATGTTTGGTATTAGAGACATCACGCTGAATACGATGGAAGTCAAGGTGACGAAGTATATCGAGATTTCTTTACACTTACGAATTCTGAAGAAAGGACAATCGTTTTAATCGAGTGTCTCTTACGAGCTCGCGAATTTTAATCGATTCATTTTTTATTTATTATTATTAATTTATTATTTATTATTTATTTATTATTAATTATTATTAATTATTATTAGTTATTTATTATTATTAAATATTATTAATTATTATTAATTTTGACGATTCATTTCAATCCCGTTACTATTCGCGTGTAGCCAGGAATGTCTGTATAATCCTTTCATACATTTCTAATCTAATATTTAATTATCGCATAAAGGAAGTTAGTATGAAACTTTACGACAACTATTTATGTATTTATTGTACAATAAACTCATTTACTTAGTCAAGTATATACTTAATTAGTTGTATATAAAATATAATCAAAGTTGTATAATTAAAGTAGTGTGGTATTACTCATATTACTATATGATTGTGATAAAATATATTTATACTTACATTTAAATTTTAAACGTCTTCTTCTACTCCGTAACAAATTTTTCAATCGACGATCCGCAAACTTCATATCACGAAACTTCATTTCTCTTCTCGATGCACAATGTACTCAGGTACACGAGAGACGTCCACGATCCGGAATTTTTGATCCCGAGAAGAGTGTTGGAAGATGGCAGCCACGACACGTACTCGCTGCCAAATTTCTATGATCGGCGTGAGTTGAACGAGCGTAAGAAGAGATCGACAGAGGCGGGCGAGCTGCAGCCTCAGACCGATAAAGTGCACCTGGTGCTGCCTTTCAACGGGATCGAACATCACGTGGAGCTCAGCCCCTATCACGAATTCATCTCACCTGACATGGTAATCGAGACGCGGGGCGCCGGCCTTAGAACTAACTTGGACGTGGCGTTGCGATTCAAGAGAGCCCCCGATCGACAATGCCATTATCGGGGCTTCGTTAGGGATCACCGGAAATCGAAGGCTGCCCTCTCTCTCTGCGACGGTGTGGTTCGTAAATTGTAAACCCTTTTTTGTCTACGCTCGCTTATCGCTCGTTATCACTCACCATTGTAATATAATTGCTTTCCTTCTTTCGTCTTGGTCCAGCTGGATTTTATTTATCTTGATTTTGATCTTGCCTTGTGAAGAACGTCTAGCGTAATATATAAGTATGCAGTCGTTTTCTTAAATGTAATTTTGACTGTTCTGATCTTATCCAACTAACAAATTTTCAAACACAAGTTTTTCGTTTTTCTTTGTTCCTATTTGTTACCGAATTCTTTCAGAGAAATACAACAGATTTTGAAACATTGCACTAACATTGTAATGAGATATACAATTATATTGGCAAGATCTAAAACTAATCTAAAAAAAATATATATACGTTTTACTCATGTTGCAATGTATAATATAAATTCTGATAAAATATATGTAATGTAATGGATAATTGGTTGCTTAAGTATTTTTACGAAATATATATTTACACAAAATATTCTGCAATTTCTAAATATATATATTTAGATTTGTTCGAAATCTTTGCCTATATAATCGGATCTCAATGAAATTTCAAAATTTTTCACATATCACAAGCACTATATTCATTCAGAGTTTCTACAAATGTTCGAACACTTTCACGAGCATCGCGATAACAAGTTTAGAATTTCTGATTCATTTTCTCTATCCAGCTGTTCCTTCGAGGTTTCGTACAATTGAACTTGTTAGACCAGACGATTGTCTCTGATCCGCAGCGAGACAACCGTAACAATATAATATACAACGAGGACATGCGCGCGAGCGTCTTCGAGGCTAATCAAGCCCCTTATTACACACTTGAACGGATGCAAATTAATATAAGGTATTTGCATTTAGATCGACGCGTATCCCGTGGGTCGTGTCGTCGAATCGACGCGGCGATCGATCGTAAATTCGGTATCGAAGCTGACACGCGCGTTTATTCGCCATTCAATGGCCCGGAGTCTCGGTCAATTCTCGCGAGAATTTCGGGAATTCAACTGCGAAACACACCTCGACAGAGTGGCTTTTGCTTTCAAACTTGATGCAATTGCCGTGCTGTACGGCGAGACACGATCTGCATAATCTCCTTCCCTTAGTGACAATGATCCGATCTTGCCTGCTGGTCGGAAGGACATTGTCTCTGGCACAAGCTACGAAAACGGTAGATTCTAATTGAGAGATATGAATCTCGGATTGCCTTCTTGTAACATTTTTTCATTTTTTTTTTTTTAGGTATATTATTTAGGTAAATTATATATAAAAATAATAAGGATTTTCGAAGCTAAGATTTAGAAAGGAGATATTGCTCGTGAAGGTTAAACGAATTTATGGTTGAATCAGAAAGTTCGTGTAACTTTTTGTGATTTGTTGTAGCGATTCGTAAATGTGTCATAACCAAGAGTTAAGAGTTTTATGTATATCACAAGCATTGAAACTAGAAAATCCAATTTTGATCTTTAGGTGTAAAGACTAGTGCAAGTTGACAAAATATTTCTTGAATGTTTGTCCTTCAACTGTAACAGAAAATTTCAACCTTCAAGATTATGCTAGACCTAGTCGTGTAAAAAAATTTTCAATGTTTCCAGAGACGTTTGAACAAATTTAGGACTGTTGCAGTAGAAGTTTTATGCTTTAAAATAAAACCAAGGTCCATTGTCGTATGATTTTAGATTAGTTATATTCTCTATTGTACAAAGACATTAAATTCCAACTAAAATTAATTAATCCCTTGATAACAATATTCAATACGTCGTCCGTTTTTCACGACCTTTTCATCTTATCTACCCCCAACTCTAATTTCACAAGTTTTGGTGACACAAGCCTTTGCCCCACAGAATATCTGCTTTCGATTTTGTTCCACTGTAGAACAACGGTTGCACGCCATCCACTGCACTAGTCTACTAGATCAGAATATCCCGTGAATTAACGAGCACCTGCCTGTTTGCCTCCGGTACTCCCGGGAGGCGCGAATCCCGAATTATGAATTGTATGTCGTTGGCTGTAGCCGCGATAAATGTTACGTGTGGCAACCGGTCGCCGTAATTGCCACGATCGTAGTTGGATTGTAATTTCCGAAGCGTGGTCGCGTAACTTCCCGACCCGCGGAATGGAAATTCGGTACAGATTCGTCGAGTGTAAACGGAGCAAGAAACGCGCTCACGTAACACGGGACGCGTGCACACGCGTATCCTGTTCGCGGGAGTGAAACTCCAATTACAAGTTTCGCATCGGCGTCGTACTTGGTTTAACCAGATTGGGGAAGGTTCTCGTAATTGCCTCCTCCTCCCTTTCGCCTTGCTGGCATCGTTCTCTATCGATATCTTATTTACAATAAGGTTGATTAAGGAGTAGGTGGGGATAGCTCAGTCGATAGAGCATCAGACTCCTAATCTGAGGGTTCAGGATTCCAGTCCCTGTTCGGGCGAAAAGAAAGACATTGTCCTTTAGGACAACAGCACGGGAGAGCTCTGTCTCAGTCGGTAACACTCCGACACTATCTGGGTCTTCCCTTAAAAAAAAGGCTCAAGTATCTTACGAAGATTTCCTCCACGTAAAAAAAAAAAAAGGTTGATTAAGGAGAGTTAGTCAATAAGTGAATTAATGGATCGTACGCAGGTCGGGTATGTACAAACTGATCATGGTCGGTACTTCATCGAACCGGTGAACGAAGCTGAACCGCAGCAGGATGGACAACACGTTCATATAGCTTACAAACGGGACGTTCTGCAGGAAAATAGCGGAGATCAGGATCATGCTTACAGCTTCTGTGGAACTTCTGGTTAGTAATTATTAAAAAAATTTAGTTTTAAATATGATAATTATAAGATTGAAGAAGAGATATGTTAAGAAATAAGGAATCACTGTATTTCAAAAGATAAGTGAATATCACTCATCATAATGCACAGTATGCTATTTTTAAGCACATATCATCCCCGGTGTTTTTCGACATCTCGATACGATACAAACGTTGTACAAACTTTCTTTTACAAATATTAGATTTTGAACGAACCATCAAGTACCATCAAGAAAAAAAAAATTGGACAAGTTTTTTTTTTTTATTAGCTCGATATTTTACAAAGTAGAATACGAGCTTTTAATTTTCTGTGTACAGATAATTGGGAGGCCGCATGGGCGGAACAGTTGGCCAAACGAGAAAAGCTGAGACTGATGGAAGAAAATCTTGAAGGCTCTGATAAGATAACTTCCTATACACATAGTATCCATCGTTTCCTAGAGATTGGATTGGTCGCAGACAGAAGGTTCCTCGATTTTTACAACAATAGCAACTACGAACAATATCTGTTGACTATCATGAACATGGTGTCGGACTTTTATCACGACAGATCTATCGGCAATCAAATAGACGTAGTCATCGTTCGTATAATATACTTGGAGAAGGAAAAGGAAGAGGTAACGCGAAACTAGTTACAGCGGTGTTTTAATAATTAATCTACACGAGATGAAGGATATGACAAATCTGATTGATCTTTCTTTAAATACAAAGCAAAGAGCATAATTTTCCAACTATTAACTTTAGACGATTGATACTGTTTAGAAATTCTTATCAATGATGATATAGTTTGAAGTACGCAAGATTAGTTAATTGACATTCTTATTGATAAGAATTTTAACACTTGCAAAAAAATATAAATTGTTCATTATTGAAAATTAGGAACATTTCTGTAATTTACTAATTTCAATATAAATGGTAATAGGAAAGTAGTTGCTATTTATGCAAAACTTGTGGTTAGCATGTAGGCTAACATTGGAACACCAATACAATCTCAAATATTATATTTTATGTAAATATATAAGAAACAAGAAAAGCCTAATTAAGGAGGAAAAAAAACAAAGTAACTGACATGAGAAAACGTAGCCTCGTTTTCTTAATTCCATTCACATAGAATCAGATATTCGAGGTATTTTATATCTGAGAGATGGTTTTCCCATAGTTAGATTTGATGATTAGTCCTAAAGCAGAAACAACGTTGGCAAGTTTTACCAAGTGGGCTCAAAAGATGAACCCTAAGGATCACACTCACCCAAACCATTTCGACATAGCGGTCCTCGTAACTAGGTGAAATTTTACTTTGTCAAAGATAGAGAATAATTACGACAAGGAATCGTGATTTTCACGGGTTTTCAGATACGATATTTGCTCGGAAATAGCAACACATTGCGACCTGTTGGGTCTGGCATACGTCGGGACTGCTTGCGATCCTGAAAAAGCAGCCTGCATCACCGAAGATACCGGCCTACAGCTTGGAGTCGTAATTGCCCATGAAGTTGGTCACGTGTACTGTCCATGCACGTCTCTTTGGCAATTTTAACTCTTTAAATGTTGTAACCCCGTGCTCAAATAATCTGAGATGTTCAAATAATTTAGTTTTTTTTTCTTTTTTTTAATAAATATAACATAGTTTAGTTTTGAATGAGTGCATCAAAAGATGCATGATTTTCAGGATGGGCTGTTCGCACGACGAGGTCAACATCAATGGCTGTGAGTCCAAAGACAAGGACAACAGTTATTTCGTCATGTCACCGATTGTCAACATCTATACATATAGATGGTCGCCATGCAGCAGAAGATACATCACTAACTTGCTCGCGTGAGTTTTTCTCCCCCAATCTGTTTTATATCACTTTGTGCTCTGTCGCGAGTCGAAAAGCTTCGTATCCATTGTTTAGCACTGGCTTGGGCGAGTGCTTGATTAACGATCCACGGAGTCCACCAGAGAAATTCAAGTATCCGGACATGTTAGCCGGTGCGATGTACGACGGTGATTTCCAATGTGATATGAACATTCCTGGATCGAAGATCTGTCCCGGTGGTCCAGGGGTATTTCGCTATTTTCTCTTACTATCTTTTTTTTCTTTTTTTCTTATAGAAGGTCGGTTATTTGACTATTTTTTATCGATCAAATTCTTTACGAATTTTTACGATATTTTATGATTATAAGAAACTTTTAAAATATTAGAAACAAACATTGCTCTAACATCTCAGTAGGAAACAGATACACTTCATATCATTATCCTTAAAAAATAAATTTTCCATCGTCAATTATTTCTTCATTATTTATGCATCTAATTAATATCATCTATTGTTTTCATTAATATCTCATTAAATATTCTAGATATAGTTATGATTGTCCAAGATAAGATTAAAGACCAAAATTAAGTTAAATTAAATTAATTTGGAGAGTCTCGTTTAAAATACATATATTTTATATATTTGTACATATTTAAATACTAAATCGAAAGTAAATTACACACATCCATACAAGACATAGCAACTCTGCTTTACAAACATAGTTTCGCGAGTATTCGAAAAATAATTTAAACAAGAATGCTACGTATTATTATTTTTTTCTTAAATTAATCTAGGAATTGCGATCGAATCGTTTCTCGGGTCAGCGAATGCGTATCAAATACGTCTCCTACCTTTGAATGACTCGAATTATCCTCGCGTGGAATACATCGAATGGGACACTCGCTTGCTCACAGTGAAAGTTACCCCGCGTTTTATATATTTCGTCAAGCTGTTCTCGAAGAATAATTTGATTATTTCTGTTTCCATTGTAAACGAACGTTCTATATGTTTCAGCTAAATGCAATGTGCGAGATGCTGTGGTGTGCGATGGAGAATGCAACTTGTTACACCAGAGGGTCACCCATGGCCGAAGGATCAAAATGCGGAGAGAACATGGTTTGTTGAATAGATTCGCCGAGAACAAAGCACAGCCGCACACCGACTATCAATTTATGCATTTCGCTACGAACATTAACACGCGTTAAACGTCTTTTCAGTTGATCCTTTGCTCGCGTTTGCTATTCCAGTCTATTTCTTTGACCCGATAGTAGACACGTGGACTTCTAAAACGGAAGCATTCACGTGGGATGCTCGTAAACATAAATGTAATAACATACATTGAAGGCGACATATTTCACTGTGGATCCGCTTGGATCCAACAGTCACTCTGTAAAATCATTCGCCATTCGAGAGTTAATATCAGTCACGTTCCACGTCGCGAAAAATATCCTGCGGAAGGTCTGCTGCGACGAAATGGGCGGGAGAATAAAAGAAAGTGGAACTTTTTTCAGTGGTGCATTCACAAGAAATGCGTGCCCATGGGCACCCGACCGGCGGCGGTGCACGGTGGCTGGGGCAAATGGGGTCCCATGAGCAGCTGCAGCAGAACCTGCGGCGGTGGTCTGAAATACGCTGAGAGGGAATGCGACAATCCGCCACCAGCCAACAATGGCAGATATTGCATAGGAGAGAGGAAGAGGTTTACCCTTTGCAACACCATGGTAAATTCCACTGTCCACGAGACCATTTCGACGGTTTCTTGCCGCTATTAAGTTTATTTCTCCTCATTCCTTCTCTTCACTTTCCTTTTCCTTGCTATCCTTCTATCTTTTTGAATTTTGTACAGAAGCTATTTTTTTCTTTTTTTTTTTTTGTTTTGAAATGAGGAGAGATATTTGGTGGCGACACGTTCGCAAAGAAAATTTCCCATCTAAGTACTTTAATATATTAAATTATTATATGTGTTATATACGTATTTTATATAATTGTGAGAATAACTTACTAAAATACGAAATACAAGATTTTACTAAAAAAACAATAATATTTGAACAGAGAAAGTATTTGAATATTTACTTTAATATTTTATTTTCATTTCATTCTGTTGTTTTAAATTCTTGTTAACAACGCAGTGAGAGGCAATTATGTATTATTATGATTATAATCTGTGAATGCATAGAGAAGTTACAAATACTTATTGCAAAACTAGTGTAGTTTATTTGCAAAATTCATGTTGAAGTTTGCGAGCTAAGTGTTTAGACAGCTTTCGTATACTTAAATCACTTCCGACTTAAGTCTAGCAAAGGAGTATTTTAATTGCGTTCTCTATAGGAGCAATTTTAATTTAAAGTTTCCTTCAGCCTAAACTCTGCAACCTAGTTTCATGGAAATCTAGTTAGATGTGCAAGATCGCGTGCACTGGTGTATGCATGTCTGCGTACTTATTTGATCGTGAGCCACGATGGCACCCTTATTTTCTTCGTATGTATAATAGCCTATTTTTAAAAACCAAATATACATAATTTCCGATTTTATAATCCCGTATAATCAGCTTCGTTTAAGGTTCAAAAAATTTTCTAACAATAAGAGAATGTGAAAAAGAAACGAAACGAAATGTTAGAAAGGAAAGATGAGAATTTCGTTTACTTGCAACACGTTGTAGAAAAATTCCTGAACTTCTTATTATAGTGTCTTTTTGATAGATTTAATTAACATGTACCTTTTAATTAATTTATACCTTAGTTATACTTTTTAATTAATTTATATCTTTAAAATTCATCCATTTCTTAGGACGGAAGATATTTTCAACTTTTCGAAAATGCTAAATGTACGTTTCCAGTAATTTTCAAGGTATTTCTAAATACCTCGAAACATTAATGTTAATCGATATATGATAAATTCAAACGCTATTTCATGTGCACCAATCTAATTTTGTTTTGGTAGTATAAATTTGATGAATAATAAATTTCGTTTAACTCGGCTACGGTCCTCGAATTTTAGATTCAGTTTAGCAAACAAGATTCCACAATCAATGAATCGTACGTAATAATAAGAATATTTTATTTAAACTTGAGATATTTTTCGAGAAATATAAGGATGTCGAAAATGAGCAAAAGGGTTAAACAAGTATTACATATGCTTAATAATTACCTAATTACTAAACTATAAACAATAAATATTTTATCCAATAATTTTTCTCGTTCGATACAATTATTTCATTTATCACGGTAAAGCACTAAGCATACAAAATAAAACTTTCAGATTAAAACCGCCAATGAATTATTTTTCATTGGCATTTCATCTGTCTCGCGCCATTAATCACTTCCTATTCCAACTTTTGATGTTTTTCCCTTTCGATGCATCATTTTTATTGCGTGATCTTTACAACGGCGAATGTATCTCTTTAATGAAAAACCGACAATGTTCTATTTTGCAGCCCTGCGACTATAAGAAACCGTCGTTTCGCCAAGTGCAGTGCAGTATGTATAACGATCGAGACATCCTGTCCGATGGCAAACATAACTGGACCGCGTATCCCATCCATGATGTGACGATCGATCCATGTGAATTATACTGCATCAGCGAAAACTTCGTATACAGCAAGCTCCAACCGTCAGCGAATGATTCCACTCCCTGTAAAGGTGGTACCAATAACATATGCATCGGTGGTAAATGCAGGGTAAGTAAATAGTTACCATGAAATAGAGTTTACACAGAGGTTTGTTTCATCTATTAATATTGCTTTGAATATAGTATATATTCTTACGTATTCAATGCGTTCTATGTATGTATTTTTGAACCTTTGATTTTCGCATAAAAATCCGTAGTTGTACTGCTTGTTTTGGCATTCTTTGTCTGTTGACCTGGTTACTTCGAAAGAAATTAATTGGAAATTTTAAAAATTAGGAAAAGTTCATTTATTGGTGGAGTGTAACAATTAGCCTTCCTTAAAAATAAATAAAAGAAGAAATTCTTGTATTTTATTTTAGTAATTTTTTATAATAATCACACGATGTATCATTAATTTTAGAAATGTTAATATATCGAACTAATCACTATAAACATCGATCGTTCACAATTTCAAACACCGATGTTTCAAGACTTTGCGAGATTTTTAAATTCAATTTCAGTAATATTTTTCTTCGGGATCTCGGAGTCCCCAGAACTTACTTCGGGGGCAAACATGAAAAATGGAAGAATTCAGACGTACCGCCGCGGATAAAGCATATTTTTCATTGCTAATTTTCCTGGCAGATTTGCAATTCCTAGACTGGCGTAGATTAAGACAGAGAGAAAGAGCCTTGCGAATTCATTTGCAAAGTAAAATGCCGGAAGCTCGGAAGTATTTCAGCAACGCAAATTAAATCAGGGAAAGACGAAGGCATACTCGCGTGATCTGCAACGAAAGAGCGAAGGCGTTCCGTGATGCCTTCGTTGTAGAAAGGAACGGGGAGATGCCTTCGATTCGAAATTATTCCTTTCATACCGTTCGCGTTCATAAGTTTCGTGATGAATCGTCAGCACACCTTTCTATTAACAACGTCTCGTTAACGAGAAGTGTTCTACAGGAATTTTGATTGCATTGATTTAATTGATATCACCAATTATTCAGAGACTCAAATTAATGAATACGAGACTCCATAGTTCTATTAATTATTAGATAAACTGCGATTGTTTATACAATTTTGTATTTTCTTGCATGTAGTTTT